AATTATACCATCGCATTCCTCTTAAAAAAACGTCAAAATGACGCAACGAGGATGATTCCCCGAGTACACTATAGTCAAAGAAACAATCCTCCATTAGAAATGTGAAAGTAGAAACAAACAAAAATCTATCGATCGCGTCAATTAGCCAAAACGAGTCGCTAAAAAAAACAACAACAGCGTTAAATAATCTCTTCGAGAGCGGGACGGAGCGAAACCGGCAACAGAACTCGAGCTAACTGTTAATTATCGATCATTAGAGGTGTGGTTCACGATCTCGAGACTCCTTCGAGGAAAAAGAATCGGCGAAGTGTATGCCCGTGCGGACCGAAAGGTTACATTATGGCACAGAATCTAAGTAGGAACCGGGTTGAACGAAGGCCTAAGGCCAGTAAATCACTATCGCAAAGAGACGGAGATGGATATCCAGCGAAAATTACCATCGGCAAACGCCACTTGGAATTTCGAAGGGGGCGCAAAGTGGATTGCACCGAGCTTTTAAATTGATGAAATTATGTTAATTCATACAGTAATTGAAATTCATTTGACTTGTCCATAGTATAGTTAGTAAAATATACCAGAGTGGCTAAGTGAAAATGTCACTATTCTACTCAAACTTGGGCAGATGTTATCGCGTGTCTCGCCGGTTTTACCGTACAGAAAAGTCGCGTAATTCGTTTAATTGCGTCCGAATTTCGAATCGAATCGCCACCAGACCGGCACGTTTTAAATCATTCCGCGTTTGATTAACCGTTTCTCGGCCGGATCGTTTCTTTTTCAATCTTCTTTGAGCTGCTCGCCCGTCGCTCTGCGGTTTCCGTGAGATACGAATATTTTTACGTCGACAGGAAGATTACATATATAGCGCCTTCCGGGATACATACCTGCAGTGGTATAGAAAAGCCAGTTGGTCGACACACATTTACGGACTCGTTTATAAATACACAGAAATTCCTCGGGGACTTTTTTTTTCGTTCGTATTTTTCTCGTCTAATTAAATTAAGTTATTTTCAATCGAGTCGTTCACGTGAGGATTAATTCTCGGATTTCCCTCGTAATGTAGCGAATTAGGTTTTGTACGATTTAAAGCGCCTTTTAAGCGACCTCAAAAATCGAACAAAGCACAATAAAAATGATACGAAACGTATACACAATTCCGTTGTTCCCATGCTCATCACAATACACACGTCCTCTTATCCTTTAAAAGAAGGTGTTAAGAATTCGTTAACATGTTTTGTTAATATTGCGGTATAGTACCGTTGCTCAAACAAAGCCATATTGAAACTTACACAAGGTGGAAATTTAGTGTAGGTGTCAAAAAAATAGTAGAAACCAAAACGATTTTCTCAAAAATCATGAAACAAGAAAACTATACCTACTTGGGTTGTTTGGGAAAACGTATGCTAGGTGGTAATGTTTGAAATGAACGGTGGACTTACAGGTAAGTCGAAATTTTCTACAATTACCGTCAATTTAGCAAGTTCAACGACTGAATTATTTTCTTATTGCATCAAGCACGAAAATAAAACGAGCAATTTGTGTTTTTAATTTACACTGGGCGATCGTTAACCGAGGAAGATTGTGTGAACCGGCGTTGTGTTTGTTAGTGTAGATGTGTGCAAGCTCGTAAGTACGGCTTTTTTCCGTACCGTTCGTTCTTTTAGATCTTTGTTTGGCTGGTACCCAATTAGAGGGTACTCAGTGTCAACAACGAGAAAAGAATATGGGCGCCCGGCGTTGTGGACGTTTTTTATTTATCTCGTTAAGTCGGCACTTTGTGAAAGTTCAAGGGCGATTTTTTATCGCTATTGTAATGCATTAGAGTAGAGGCGTTTGCATTGCGATAAAAATTGGTAAAATTACACGCTCATGTCGATTATAATTATGAGTTTTTCGTGTGCTCCACTTAATAAAAATCGCTTGTTTTACTAATAAATTTACTTATAAAGATAACGAAATGTAGGCCAACCTTTTCGAGTATCGCACTAATGATGTAACATTTTCAATTCGGAATGAACGAGGGAAAGTTATAGTTAATCCAGTTCGCGAACCGAAAAGTCCCGTCTATAAATTTCGAACTGTTATGGTTGCACCGACATAGAAAACGTGTCTCACGACTCAAATTCAGGTTATAGACAAACAATATCCATACCAAACATTACACTTGTTAACAATATTTACGATCCACAGCCGGGGATTGTAAATAATATTTTGTACGTAACAAAAAGGTCTACTTGTTTCTCTTTTCTCCTACGCTAATTTGGCATTGTTCGCTCCAATGCGTTATATATAGGGTGCTCAACAAATGTAAGAAGGATTTTCTCATTTTGGAGTTAAATTGTGGGCAAAAATTTCTTGTATAGATAATCTACTCTATCAAGGAATTTACTAAAATATTTTTAAATTTTGTGCTGATAAAATTTATGCTAAAGCAATAGAGCAATTAAAATTAAACATTCTAATAAATATCTATACAAATTCGAAATGCTACATCGTGAATACCATTCGATGAAAAACGAAATGTTATTCAATAAATTGATAAATTTAATACGTAGCAAGGTAAAATAAATTTCTGTATATAACAAACAGTAATTAATTTTTACACGCGCAAGTAGATATAAAAAAATCGCATTAGAATTTACATGATTTCTCACTAAAGTTCTAACGGTACAATTTATTTAAATATGCCTAGTTAAGTCGATGGTGGAATTATACGGAAAATATTCAAAACCAGTATGGGAACGATTTATTTCATCGACTGGCAGATTCGAGACATCGTTTTATACGTTGAGAAGGTCGATGAAAGAGCCATTACGATTTCGATTTTTCTACCTGGTCGTGGTCAGTCCAAAATGCACCGTGGAATTTTCAACATATTACTAGACAAAAATAATAAAATAGCTCCTAATATATTCATAATCGCGGTTAATATAGTTTCTAGAAATCATCTAGACTTCTATATACACGATTATAATTAAGACAAGGTGATATTTTAGGTAAATAATATTGGAATTTTCGTCCACCCACCGGAATTCTTTTCCCACTAATTGTGAGGTTGTTTCTTTTCCTACCGTGGAGATGAAACCGCGAGAGAAAGTAGGCTAAACGATCTCCGAAGTTCGAACGCGCCGAGCGCACATACGCCGATACAAACCGCAACAAACAAATAATTGATTTTTCCGCTTGATTTTAGGAGAATGTCGATGCGAAAGTGGCCGTGAAATCACCGACCGATTTTTTCACGCGGGAATAAGAAAAAAAAATCCGATTCGATTTAATCGGGAACCTGAACCGGCGAGAAACTTACCTGGGCCCTTGTATACACATTGAGGTTTCACCGATCAATTCTAATCAATTCTAAATTCGATCAATGATCTAATAAACTCGCAGGGTAATACATAAAACTCATCCCTAATAATCGAGAGACTCGATTAGATTTTTTAGATTACAAACCCGATATAGATTGGAATTTTTTGTGTACAAGAAGTACACAATGTAAATAGTTAAATTACATAATTATAGGTGAGTTAATCGTGTCGATTGCCCTTGCTAGTTTTAACGAATCGCTTATCAACGGTATTTATTACGACGTGAACGCGAAACACCGCTGCGATGCGACCCAAAAAGCGCGATATTAATGCCGAAGATTCGTGAATGAGAACCCATATGGCCAGATATGCCAAAGACAAAGTCCTTCTGCATGACAAAATTTAGTGATTCAATGCCATATGGCTGTTGCGTTGTCACCTGTTCATCCGCTAAATTGTGCTTTATATGAGCATTATAAGAGCTTGTCTAAACTTGCCTTTGTTATGTAGATTATGTAGATAATATTAAAAAATAATGCTGAGAGGTATATTTAAAAGTAAGCAAAAAGTGGTAAAAATGCAATGCAATGAAGTCGGGTAATTTCGAAATTACAGTTGTAGGAAAATAAAATTTGATCATAAGATAATTCGGTGCCGGTCTACCCATAATATCTGCGGTCTACCTTCATATTTCGTCGCCCAAGTATACTTCAATACTTTGACAGATGTCATATTTTGCAAAACTGAAACTGGTTGTGAACAGGTCTCACAAAACTGCATTTGTCCATTTAAACTTTTTTTTTATCTCCAACAGTTTCCGATATCCCTGTACTTAAAATCGAAAAAAACTCACCCTGTAGAATTAAGATACTTCTGTAATTCTCGATAAATTGAATTACTTACTGCTATTCCATACATAATTTAATACTAATAAAATCTTTTCGTTTGCTTAATGAAGATAGGTATATTTACGTTTAAATAAATACTGGTACTTCCCCAATTCTCGGAAATTAAATTTCCCGCTTAATAAATGGTCAATTTTTCAAATCTTGCTGTTACACTTTGTATAAAATACCTAAACTTGGGTAGACTAAACGAATACTAAACCAGATGCGATAGGGTAGACCGGCACCCATAATTCTTTCGTAGATCCAATTGTATTATAATTCTAGGAAAATTCTTTATTGCCTAGATATAATTAAATTGGGGATTAAAGTAATAGTAATATCTTATGCAATTTGAAAATGAGACTAAATAATGTAATTCAGTCAGTAGTAAATTCCAATTACTATTCTCTTTATAAAGAAATATCTCTTTAAGATCCTTTAAATCCTATTCCAGGTATGGAATATTAGATTTGGGTAATATCTTTACTGTTATACAATTCCTAATTGAATTTGTGGGAAGATCATCAATTACCTATACAAACGTTTATATAGAAAAATACTGTTTCAATTAGTAAAGTAGTTTCCTTAGTATTTAATCCTTTTTCCTTTAGCAAGAAGATAATTAATTATCTAAAGCATATCTATTAGCATATCAACAAATGATCCTTATAAACAATACTCACCTATTCAGTAACTTTTATTTTTAGAAATAGTTACGAATTTTGCTTATCAATAACGTCAAAAAACACACGTAAAGTACCGAAAAAAGTGGCTTAAATAATTTAATACAGTAGAAAATAAAACTGACCTGCCAAGGGGTGTTTTGTCCAAATCGTAAACGCCGGTGATGTTCTCCTTCTGGATCAAGGACGACAGCAGGTCGTCGTCGATTTGCAAAAGTCCATCACGAGACGGTGTAAATCCCTGCATTTTCGAGTCGATATGAAAATGTACAATCAGCACTTTACGAACGAAACGACAACGTCACAACAGTCAATAAAACAGTCAAAGTACCCCCGAAAACGAAGCCCGCTTTACCTGGCCGACCGCGATTCGCAGTCCCAACAGCTGGCTGTGGCCGTTTAGGTTATGTCGGTTGGGGTTTTTATTCAAATATTCACAACGCAACCGTCCGATTTTCGAGCGAACCGAGGGCGAGTCCGTACATTACGCTGGGCATTCGCCGTTTCCAGATCTACGAAGGCACGCGGCAGGAAGATATGAATGAAAACATGGATCACAATCAAGCTGAAACAGTGTCGAAGGCGGCCTATCAACTTGCTATGCTCCACCACTACTCGCACTCGACGACGAACTGACTTCGACTGGCGTACTGGCGATAAAATCGAATTCGAATTCGAGGAACTCTCCACTCTCGAGGACCGGATTGACCGCGGAAGGAACCCCGGGCGCGGCACACGTGCTGCCACCTTGTGGCGAACAACAAATAATACATTCTTATTTTGACAGAATGGTCTGCATTATTTTGGCTATTGGCCAGGGAAGTTAGGCAATACTTTTTACACATTCTCTACTAGGTTTTTTGACAGATCTTATTATAAACTTATTTTTTAATGCTTAATTCGTAATTTATTATACTTCATACGCTTCATACTTATAGGAATCAACCTTTATATACGTTTAAAAATTAGAAGAAAATAAACTTCTTTTAATTATGACGTTTTATTATTCGGTTCCGTAGTGTAGCGGTTATCACGTCTGCTTTACACGCAGAAGGTCCCCGGTTCGATCCCGGGCGGAACCACGTTTTTTACCGAGGGGTATCAAAATTAAACGCTCGTGAACAATTTGATTTTTTATTCATTATTCGTTATCTCTACGTAAGATAAATAAATTAGAAATAAATTAGAAATAAATTACAACGCAAAATATCACACGAAACAATATCAATGACTAGATAATTTCCTACGATAGGGTAAAATTTTAAAGCAATTGCACATATTTTATAAGTATGTTTTTAAATTTTAGGTACGCCAAAAATAATGTAACTTACAAGTTACTTATGAGGAAAATGTTTAACGAAACTTTTTACAAATACGAGTATGTTATAGATTGATTGTTTTAGTATTTTTTATTAGAGCTTTATTAGGGTTAGTAACATTATTCTAGATTAGTTTAGTATTTAACCAGTGAAAGATCTAAAGTCGAGGAAAACTACACAGCTCAATTTGATTAGACCAATATAAAGATTTCTATAATTTTGACAACTATAGTTAGCTTCACTAAAATTCTTCCATCAGATTAAAAGATTGTTAATCGAAAGAGATAGGTACAAAACATACCCTTTTTTCCAGTTATTGGAATGTAAAAGCAATATGGAATGTTTAAATTTGTACTTTTAAATAGTGAATTCAATTCGCAATAAGTTAAAAAAAATATCTAAATACCTACAGAAATAAATAAATAAATAAATAAATATAAAAATAAATATATCACAACTCGTGGAATGAACAAAACGCGTGAGTATTCAATTAATCATTAAAATAATTATCAACCTATACCTAACATATTAAAATAATTTACATAATTTAATAGATGATACAGGTGTACATACAAAATTTACTCCAACCCCTAGCTCCGCAGAGCCCAAAAAAAATTCGTTGCGGGTATTAATCTAGCAATCCTACCGCTTTTGAAACCCATTAAATTATTGCACTTTCTTAACGACCTCGTCCGATCGCCCCGTCAACCGCTAAGGGGACTTGGAGGACCCCACCGGCGACCTAGACCTAGTTTTGGACCTCGACGACTTCCTGCTGAGCGATCTGCTGGCCGAGCGGTGCCTGCAGTAGGAGCTCCTGCTGTTGTAGCTGCTCACCGACGACGGGGACGTGGGCGAGGCTCTCGTGTAAGGTATAGGTCGCTTCCTGGCGCTGTTAGTTACGTCGGGTGCAATTAGTTAGGTTAGTAAAGGGCGGGTAAAGGTTCAAGCGCGACTGCAACATACTCGTATAAGCGTAGGCGGAACACGAAGCGATTAAATTATAAACATGCGACTTACCTTCTCTACTTTAGCACAAAATAAAACAAAATAATCGATAAAATAAAACTAAAAAGAAAAACCAAATAAAATAAACAACATTTATTTAATACAAATAACTACTAGGTATATCGAATTAAAAAAACATGTGTTTCGTATTTTTTTTTGAATTAAATTATCAAGTGAACAAAATTGTGTGAAAACTCCAAAACTACCTGTGTCTGAAATAAAAAAAAGAAAAAAATACGTACAAAAAATCCGCAAAATAATAAAAAAATAATCTACTGTTCGTCAACACCGCTAAAAATCTCGTCGAAATTTAATCGTGTCAACTTCAACAACAGAAAAAAAATGATATAATACAAAATAAAATTCCTCCAATCGCTCACCTCGTTATCCTCCTCCTGTCCAAAAAGCTAGGCGAGCCCCGTCTCCTGGGTATCGACGGCGACCTGGACCTCGACGAGCGCGAACTAGAAGAATCGCTCGACGAACTCGACCTGCTCCTCGACCTCGAATAGGACCTCGACCAGGAGCGCGACTTGCTCGAACTCGAAGACGAACTACTCCTATCTTTCGAACTAGAAAACAAAAAACGATTCCGGTATAAACTTTCTCCGAGCGCACATTAACCGCGCTCACCTATCGGACGAATCCGAAGAGCTCCCCGACCTCGACTTCGACTTGCTGCGCCGCTGGCTCTTGCTCCTCGACCTCGATTTGCCGCCGTCGAGGCGCGTCCGCTTCGCGTTCGCCGCCTCCTTCGCCGGCGACTTCTCCTTGCCGTTCCGCAACGGCAGCACTTTGATGTCGAAGAAATCCGGCTCGATGTGCCGCTTCGCTATCGGCTTCGGACTCGGCGGCTTCTCCTTCTTCCGCTCCATCCGCTCCTTCGCTTTGGCCGCCAAATCGGACTTGAGCAGCCTCAGCATGCGGATCTCCTTGTCGTCGATCGGCTGCTCCTGCTCCGAATCGCTGCCGCTCGGCTCGCCTTCGCTCGACGACGCTCGCAGGCACACCACCGGTTGTTGTTTCTTCGCTTTCTTCGCGGCCGGTTTCTTCTTCGATTTGTCGGGCGTGGTGGATTTTTTAGCCGGCGGTCGCGGCGACGGCGATTTCTTTCTGATCACATCGGAATCTTTGGTCCTCCTGTCGCGGCTGCGACTCCTCGAAGGCTTCTTGGGCTCCTCTTTGGCGCTCGAGCTTCGCGTTTTGTCGTGGTTGAGCAACGCCAGGATCTGCTTCTTCAAACGCGACTCGTTCTCGGCGTCTTTGGACCGGCGCGGCGAGTGCGGCGAGCGTTTCGATGGCGGCGAGTAGTCGGGCGGCGGCGATCGGTTCCTGCATTTGCCGGCCTTGGGCGAGCGGCTCGCCGACCGCGACGATTCCCGTTTCTTCTCAGTCTTTTTCGGTTTCTTCGCGTCGATCGAACGCGACCGGCTGCGCCTGGAATTCTTCTTGGATTTGTCGTCGATCGGCCGTCGCGAGTGCGGTTTCTCGTCGACGTCGGGCTTGCTGTTCGACTTCGATCGGTTATCAACGTCGGGATCCCGTTTGAGTTTCTCCTTCAAGTCGAGCGATTCCGATCGGAGTTTTTTCGACAGCTCTTCGTACTCTTTCTCGTACCGTTTGATACGCTTCCTGACTTGTTCTTCGTTGTCTTCGGAATCCGAGCGATGTTTCTTTCTCCTATCGTTCGACGTTGATCGTTTCTTATCGTCCTGCTTCCTCGCTCGCTTATCTTTACTCTCTTCGTTGGTAGCATCTTTTTTGCGTTTCTTATCGGTTTCGACGCTCCTGTTGCGATACTTATCCGCCGAATTCGACGGCCTTTTGGTAACCTCCGATTCGGAGCCGCTCTTGTTCCTCGATCGCGATCGCTTCGATTTCTTGCCGCGATCGTACGACTTCGATTTGGATTTCTTCTTCGATGCCGATCGCCCGCCGGACCGCCGGCGTTCCGTCGATCTCGATCGCCTGGATTTCGATTTCTTCGCCGGGCTGGACGACCGGGAGCGCCTCGATTTGGGTTTCTTCGGCGGCGTGGACGATCGCTCGCGCCTGACGGGCGAGTGCTTCTCGGCGGATTTCTTCCTTCGGTTCCTGCTGCGCGACCGGTGCTTCGATTTCTCGATTTTGGACTTTTTGGTATCGGGAGAACTGGAATTTTATGTATTAGTACGTATTAATCGTGTGGTTTCGATCGAATCTACCTTTCTCTGGAGCTTTCTTCCGATTGGTGTCTTCTTTTATTGGTCGTCTTTTTCTTCTGGAGAAAAATTAATTACATTAATAACAATTAAATGTACATTGAATAGTAAATGACATAAATGCGTGTGCTAGATATAAACTACATTTTCTTAAAAAATATCTCGTGTCAATAAACAGATATTAAATAAACTGGAAAGTACAATTCGATAAGCCTTTCCGATACATCTATCTATACAAAAAAATTAATCTATTATTCAAAAATAAAATTTATACAACATGCAAACAAGTCGTTATCCGAAATATTATTTTTTACCTACTATTTTTTTTGAATCGCCCAAAGAATTGCATACTTACTAAATATCGGATATCAGCCTCACTTGGTGTGGGGCTAAGTCCTAGTTATGTGACGCAGGTTCAAAAAGAACAATTTTTACTCTTTTTTTAACGAAAAACTTGCACGCATGCAATAAAATAAATTCAAACAAATGCGCAATTAATCCGCAATAATATACAACAAAAAACATTCTAATATGATTCGAACGGAATGGAAGAATCGCAATTATAATTACGACTAAGCGGCCTAAATGATTGTTCGATATGTATCCGAATGAACATTCAATATATTATCTATTTAACAGCGAGTTAAATCGAAATAATAGGTAAACGAACTGACCTCCTTCTTCTTGGCCTTCTTCTTTTTCCTGTCCTCCTCGCTGCTCGAGTCCTCTTCGCTGTCGTCTTCGGAGGCGGATTCGTCGGACGAATCGTCGTGTTTGCTCTTTTTCTTCTTCTTCTTGTCTTTAGATTTGCCAGATCTAACGAAAAAGGAACGCTTAGACTTCCGACAGAGGTTTGTTGATATACCAACAAATACGGTTTTATACCAGGAACATACAGATCAGGTCTACAGCTACAAGAATTGTACGGATAAATTTTTCACTCGTGGATTTTATTACGTACTAATTGTTTTATTGATGTGAAAAATATATCCTGTAGTTTATAGAAGCTAATTGCATGTTCCTGATAAGGAAAAACCCTTTCGAACATAAAAAACGATAAAACCAGTGTTTATAAAATAATAATTCTTACTATATAAAAAACACAATAATTCATAAACATTTTTTTAAAGTGAGATTCTAGGCTTGAAAGTTGAAACGCACCTTCACGTGTCCCATTTTTCTGTCACAGGTTCGGCTAAACATAGGCAGATTGAAACAAGCAATAAAAAAAAATTGTTTTCTCTCATACGTGAATAATTGGAAATTATATTGGAAACCATACCATTACCTGTTCGACATGAGCCTTCTTTTAAACGTACGGCAAAAAAATATACCACCAATATATTAGTATCGAAATTAACGTAAAATCGCAAGGAAACTAAATGAAAGTTTCGATGTAGTTTCAATTTTTTTTACATAAAATACAGTTTGAATATTTTTGCGAATGTTCGAGTGAATAAATTGTTCGCAAAAATATCCAGTCCTTAAAATTAATACACCACACAAACAGGTTATTATTGCACAATAATTACATAAACAACGTAATTTTACACCGATTTACTGACGCCTTTATAAGTTTATGTGATGCTAAATTCGTTTGACTTGTTACATTCAGTCTAATTTTATTTACCTTTCTTTCTTTTTACTTTTTCTCTTCTTTTTCTTTTTAGAGTCCTCGTTTGGTGTACTACAAAAATTTAAACAACAAACATTAAAAAACGATCCACATATAAAAAAATATCAAAAACAAAGAAAGAAAAAGCAAATAAAAATTTAAATTCAAAATTCGCAACATCTACCAACCTCTCCTTGTTCTTTTTCTTCTTCTTCTTCGCGCTCTTCGCCTTCACTTTGCCCGTTTCCTTCTCCTCCTCATCGTCGGGTTCCTCCCGTTCGGGCGTCGGCGTGTGCACCAACTGGTACCTTTGCGCTTGCGTCCTATCCAACTCCTTCTGTTTCTCCCGATCCAACGCCTTCTGGCGCTCCTTCTCCTGGTAGGCGGCGCTCTTCGCCAGCTTCTCCTTCGCCTGTCGATCGGGATCGAAGCTGCTGCCGTCGACGAAATACTCCGATATGCCGAAGGCCTCTCGCAACCGGGCGTTCTTTTCCTGCTGGGCTTCGGCCACTTGGTGCGTTTCCGTCACGCTAAAATAACAAATAAAGTCAAAATCGAACTTAATTTTAATAGGTACAGAGCAGGAGAAATATCCGTAGACTAGATCTGTGCTGCTTATAAACGGTGCAAGTACGAGGGATGTTTCCAATGGTTTGGGAATTGCGTTCTAATTAAATAACGCAGAAATTATAGACAATGTTATTGATGAAAGACAAGTCTTGACATGTTTACAATATTGTTCAGTCTGATTGAGGTGTTCAACTGATATAGCTGCGTATTTATACCACTGCTTTTGTAACCATGGAAGATGCTGGAAAATCTCAAAGAGCAAAGACTTGCCTATCACCAATAACCAATTTAATTAAAGCACAATTCACATAACTTTGGAAACATCCCTCGTATTTCTACCGCACTGTAAGTAGGTATTATGACGCACATTGCTTACACCTAACTCTGTAATAAATTAGGAACCACAAACCTACTCGTAGTTTAATATATTTTAAGGCTAACAATCGATTTAATTTAATAATGTAGTAATTGTTAAATACACTTTCAACATTAACCCACTTACTTATCGTGCGAGCAAACCATTTTTTTTAGTAGCTACAGGAAAAATAATCGACCGTTTTAGGTAAAGAGCGTTAACACACTGAACCTTCTGTTCGGGTGGAGAGAAAAAACCGACCGAGGAAATGATTATTTCATCCATCGAGTCGAACAAAAAAAGCACGGAAAAGCATTTTTCAACATTAGCACGGTCACACGAATGTCGCCCCGCTAGTACGATAACGGACACGCGACCCAAACAATACGAAAAATCGATAGTTTACTTTCGAACCCCTAATAGAAAACTTAGAAAAGGGTGACTCGATTTCCAGTTAGTGGGGGATACGTTGTTATTGTTATGGCGTAAGCGTAGATTTTAGGGGGTTGATATTATTCACCTGCATTATGTACCGATCAATCTCCTCGAAAACGCACCGCAAATTCGTATTTTATAAAAAATAATTCGAAACCTTATTGAATTGTAGCGCTTAGTTTAAAGCTAACTTCGATGAGGATTACGTCCAACTCTAATAGGATTGTAGGATTAAAGTCGGCAAAATACACCCTTCAAATTGCTGGATACTTTACTACAAGTTGTACTTCGTATTTAAAAAAAATAAATTAAAGTAGATTGTTATATTTATTTTAAATTTATATGTGGCATTAATGTCGTTAATTGAAGCAAGTTTGTTGTTTTAATGATTTATTACACAAAGCAAATATTTTTCTCTCCTTTATACAAACTTTAGTAATATAAATATTTTGTTGAAAAAGTGAGCATTTAAAAAAAAGCGTATACGAAAAAAAATACAATGTGACAACACCGCAGTAATTAACCTTGCAACGTCACAACAACATTAACTTGTACCTACTATACAACAATTTCCACTTCTTATCACATTGTTTATTAATTTCATCTATCGCGAACTTTTAGACTTCAAAATATTTACCAGACGAGCATTTTACCGATAAGCCGCATCAAATAAACGCATAGAAAACCTACCTAACGACTGAACGCATAGTTTTTCTACCGGCTCCGACTCGCAACTGCGATTTTTCATGATCGCCATGCTCGGCGCCGGCGGCGACGTCGCACCGACAGTGACAGCAGCATCCCTTGTTCGCGGTGTGCCCTTTGAAGGGCACACGCCCCCGGAACGTCTGGAGCACGGCGCCCTTCCACAGCCGTTCGAATATCTCCTTTTCGTCGACGGTGAACGGGCCGTTCTTCTGGTTCTGGCATTGCTGCGCCCTGCGGCGGTACAGCTCGCAGTGGAAGAATTTGTTCTTGTTTTGAATGTATTTACCGAAGCGGTGCTTCTTGCGGGCCTTCCACGATTTCTTTCGCGGCGTCGCGTCCGCTTGGCGCTTCTGAACGACGCTGCCGTAGTAGGTCACCTCTTTTTGGGCCATTATTAATAAAACACGTTCACGCACAATCTAACAATCACTAAAACTCGCATGCGGATCTCAACGAAACGGAAGCGAAGGATTTACCATCACAATTTTTCATCATAAAACGTTATACGAAAATACCTCTACTAAGCTTAACTACTTATAAATATGGAAGACTTGGTTGCGGTTTGCGACGTGCAAAAAATCTAATTCATCGCGGAAGACATTTGGATTTGGTGTATTAATATTTGCGCGGCGGTTTTATCCCTCACATATCGACGTCGGATTCCTCGAATCGAAGGATAATCTCGACGTTCGAATTGGACCCATCGCTGGAGTCGAACTATTTTTCGCACGGGGGGACGAGAAACGCGAAGGAGAGAGGAACCGAGAACAGGGCGAAGGGCGGGCGATGTTTGTACGCGCAGCATCCGACGGGAAATCAATATTATTAGAAGGAATAACTCGGCACGTCGCTAGGGTTTTGTTACTCGCGCTAATGGAGTTTATTTTCGATTAATATACGCGATGAATTTATCGTTTATTAATTATAAATTACTTACAGACGGTCGTAAATGCCCCAATGATACATGGATAAGTAATTTATAGTTCGTATTGTATTTTATGATCAAAATGCACTGATCGTGTATTATAACACATAAACCAGTTATGAAAATCTCACGGTAAATTTCTTGAATTAGAAAAGGAAATATACAATAACAATTTAAATGGTTATTTTCTGATAATTCAATTTAATACACGAGCGTTACCTTTTTATTACTCATTGATAAAAGTACTTATTGACAATTCCGAGTGTGACGATTGGCATTGTTTAAATTTAATATTTAAAACCAATGGCAGATTTATTTATTGAAATGACCGCTCTCATTCGAGCTAGAAATAAACAAAATAATAATTTAACTCACCAAGGTCTTCCCCATTCATCAACAGGTTTTTCCAATTTCGCTCCTTGACCCATCAGCATGGTCCTGTAGTTGTTCACTTTATTCGTAATGGTTTCTTCACTGAACCTACCGAAAACGAAACAAATAAAGTTATATTCCAGCAATGTTTCGAAAGTAAAATTAATTATACTACATGATGCAATTTAATGCAATTCATTCCTTTTGGTACGAATGCAATCATAAATCAAAATGTATCTAATTACTGTACGATTTAAAAACATATACAAACCCCTGTTCTTCAAGTAACTCGGCGAATTCGGCGCATTTCAATTCAATTTTCCTCTTTCGCTCGTGATCCAGGATCTCCTTGTTGGGTTGTTTATTTGATGCCGTATCGAGTGCTGATAGTTCTTGTTCGCTTTTGTAGGTTTTGTCCCTATCTTTAGGACGTACTAAGGCCCAGTTTCGCTGTACGTGTCCGTTCGTTCCCGAACCCCTGGGGGTTGCAAGTCCTATGCCGTTGTACATGACTGAAACAACGGGAGCGACTGAGCTATTAGTATTTGCCGGTTAAAGCGATGTTACAGTTTCCACTGGGGCGTTTAATTTAATTAGCCGCGAATTATTTTTATAATTCAAACATGTCATAGAAAAATTGATATCGATTTTATTAGGCCCTGAATATTATTCTATTTATAACTTACCTAAGAGTATTAGTATTAATATATTTTCAGGTGAAATAAGTTAATTTATATCAATTTAGACATTTACCAGAGCTATTTTATTCAAACTTTGCTCAAAAATGTATCATTTACAGCTTCAAACGTTTTTGTACGACATTTTTTTAATGTAAATGACAGGGTTCATTTCATATGTCAACGTTTGACATGACAAGTGACGTACAATTAATAACCAACTTCACTTCCGAAGGTGCTCACGAATTACTGTAATGATGAAGGCCACTACCACAATTAATATTTACTAGTAAAAAGAAGTAGAAGTCAATTAATTTGAAAGTTGAAAGGTTAAGTATTGTATATATTTTATTTTTTAGGGAAAAAAGGCAAATATATTAAATAATTCTGATTACAATGGCACCATCAAAGGAACTAACGAAGGAAGAATTGGAAAAATTCGACTGGATAACTCTAAAAAAAGATATGGATTCGCACAGTGCAGGTATCGAAACACAGACTGAAAAACTGAAAAGAAAATTTGCAGAGAACCCTTTGGTGCCAATAGGTAAACTGGGATATTCCTATATTGACTCTAAGGAGTAATCTAAGTAATTTCATTCAATTTTAGGCTGCTTGGCGACTACCGCAGCTTTATCGTACGGAATATGGTGTTTCCGTAGTGGACAGCGAAAAAGGTCCCAATTAATGATGAGGGCTCGAATATTAGCCCAAGGGTTTACGCTGGTTGCTATGATTGTAGGCGTAGCAGTTCAAGCAAAGAAAACCTTAGAACCGAAGACAAATGAGTAGCAAATTGAAACTAAAAGTTAAATTTAGCTTATTTGTAAATAGTCTTGTTGAATTTAATTACCGGTTCGCTTTGTAATTTAGTTACATTTCAATTTAATATAGTTGAAAGTATTATTTAAATAAAATTTTATTTATATTTAGCGCATGCGTGTTCTGTAATTATAGCTGTCATTGTAAGTTGTTTTGAAATTTTTGACATTTGACTTTGACGTTTAAAAGGCAAATTTTAAGGTTATGTGGTATTTGGGTTCGTTTTCCTGCTAGTTTTTCTTATTTTTTTTAAGTAAAAAGCGACGAGTGAGAAATTTAAACGCAATGTTGGCTCGAAATTTGTATAAAGTCACCCGAAGGTTAGTTACACCGAACTGTCGAGCTCACATTCAATCGAATCCGAACGTGAAGCCCCTGGATAACGTTAAGCCCGAACTGATCATAACGGACAAATGCGTGCAACGCTTGAAGAAAATTACCAGCGATAACAACGAAGTCCTTAGAGTATTAGTCGACGGCGGCGGGTGCTCTGGGTTCCAGTACAAGTTCGATCTCGATACGAAAGTCAACGAAGATGATAAGGTATTCACCAAAGATGGGGTTAAAGTAGTAGTGGATTCGGTGTCTCTGGATTATATTAAAGGCTCTACGCTGGATTACGCGGAGGAATTGATACGATCCTCTTTTAAAATAGTAAATAACCCTTTAGCAGAGCAGGGATGTTCCTGTGGGTCATCGTTTGCAGTACGACTCGATTAGAAATCCTGAACTAATTTTGTGATACTCAGTGTAAGGTGTGATATATTTATTAGGATTATTATCTTGCGACTTAGCCAATAAAATACTGTTAAAGATTTTTTTTATTAATTCATACACATAAGGTGGTTAATTAAATAAATTCTAGTAGGTTAAAAATTCACTTTACTTCATAAGTACATGAACATTAAAAAATTACATTTTAATACAAAATAAATATACAAATTACAATATTACCAAGTGCAAAAAGCTTGATAAAGAACTTAAAACTACATCATAAATACCTAAACATTTCAGATTTACAGGAAATGACTAGACGAATTAAATAAATTGCAATGCTTAATACTTCATTATACAAAAAGAAACGTACATACAAAAGCCGCTCAGGCCGCGTCATAGCAAATTTACAACGACATACAAAAATTGACTGATTAAGTCTTGGTCATTCTTCTTCAACAAACCATCGCGCTTAATCGGCGGACATTCACTGAGAAAATTCCACTGTTTCGAGTCCTGCAGAGGACCGTTCTGAACTCTAAGTGGTTAGATTTGTCAATTAGCCGCTTCTGTGCTCAAGATTTAACGCTCACCGCCGCCACTTGCTTCATCATCTCCTTCTGACTATCCGGAGGAGTGTTCTTGATACTTTCTAATATCTGCAACAATCAAATCGATACGTTAGTTTATTTAAAAAAAATAAGCAATAGTTGTATGTACTTACAGAAATCAGTCTATCGAATCCGGTAAGCAACCCCTCCTCGTAATTCCCCTGCACCCACGGCGTCCTATGATTGACAGTCTTCCCATCGGGCAACTTGTTAGTTTTAGCAAAGTCTATCAACCACACGCCGACTTTGTTATCGTCGTAGATAATAAACAGACTACTGCCGATCACTTCCCTCTTCTTGAAGTACTCCGAGCTCTCGATCTTCGAGCGGATCTCGCACAAACGCGCCACCAGCCGCTGCCGCACGTCCTCGTGTCCGCCGAGGAACATGTCCAGCGTGTTGGTGACCTCCGGGCGCGACTTGACCTTCTTCAGGTCGGTGACGGGCGGCGAGCCGCGGCACTTCATCGCCTCTATCCTGAAGCCCAGGCTGCAGGTGGACGATTGCTGCTCGCGGAACTGCATGTACCGCAGCTTCGTCACCGACTTCGTCTGGTGCTCCTGCTCGGTGGGCGCGCGCGGATCGATGGCGATCATCTTCTGGTACAAATCCGCTCGGCCCGTGGTCTTCTGCACCTCCGATTCGAGGAACGTGCGCGTGCCCATTTTGATGTCGACTACGTAAGGGTCCTGCCAAACGACACCGACATTAGTACTCGGTTATTTTTGTCGAATTATCGATGTAATTACCTGGAACTCGTGCAGGAGGTCTTGCAATTCGATGAACATCTCGCCTTGGTACTCGACTTCGCGGTAATATCTGGGTACGATGTCGCGCAGGTTCGGATCGTGCGAGAGTTCTTCGTATACGACGCGTTCCGTGTCGTCGGAGTTCGAGGATCTTTTTTTCCAAACGGTGCCTGGTCCTGCGGGCGCCAGGCTATCGGGATGGCCGCTCAATTGGAACCAATTACTGCTGCGGCTCTTCAGCAATACGTCGCTAGCTGGAGCGCTGAGATCTAAGGCGTTCTGGAATAAGGATTTCCGTGAATTTATTTACTGCTTCATTTGTATTATCTAGATGGTAAGTGTATGAAATGTGTATGTAGATGATATGGATATGGGTACTTTCCTTTCGTGTTAGTTATAAGCCAGGGGAACTTTTCATAAAATCAACACTAATCACTAAGGAAATAGGATCCTTTGAGTTAGACGATGATACTTTTATGTGTACATTATCAGCATAAATATTAATGAGACCCGTTTTTGATATTAAATATAGTACAAATAGTTGTGACAATAATCCGTAATCAAGCGTCATTATCTTGGAGGATGTTCAGCGAAGAGGTCAATTAAAAATATGGAGTCTAGACAATTCTTATCAATCAGCTTGTTTATAAAAATATACAGCTTCTTTTTGGTTTGCTCTATCGATTTCAAATGCAGGTTTTTTCCCAAAACAACGTAACGTTAATAAACAATATTATGACCGAAATTCGGGTGATTTTTAAAAACAAGGCAATATAGAGAAGAGAGTGTTTGCGGTTAGGCGCTTAATTTCCCATCAGTAATGGGAAACAAACGTATTTGTTACCGACAATAATACAATCAAAGTAGCAATGTTATTTTTTTTAACAAGCAGCAATCCTGCGCGATAAATCATATCTCGTTTAGAATGATTAAAATATGCATTGACGTAAAATGTGACAGGTTTTTGCATTTTTTTTACATAGTCATGTTAAATTTATTGAGTATAAATAAAATTTTCTAAATATTCTTTGACGTTGTTCCTCGCGGTGTTTATTCGCATTTCGACCTCACGTCAAGGCGACGAATGCAATTTTTCTTTTTCTTTCACGGTCTCAAACTCGCTACATATATTGTTTATCAATAAGGAAAAATTAATTATTTATTTAACCATTATCATTCTAAAAGCGTATTTGACAAAAATCCAATTTACTTACATACGGGCGAGTTCATTACCATAAAATCATTAATAACGCGGTTTGATTAAAATTTCCCGAGCTGGAAACGTTCAAAACACCACAATGTACTTACATTATTATACTACATAGGTAAACCAACACATGCGTCTTTCGGCGTTTGATTCAAATGCAGTATAAATGAATACAAAATTGAGGAAAGTCTACGTGCGTCAATCTTGTTAGGAATATGCAAAAAAATATCGTTAAAACTAGTTGTGACAATTTAATTCGTTTAAGATAAAATTAAATTATGTAATTTCACGATAAATCCTCGTTTTATGTTAATCAACACACGTAACACCCACGTGATAGCTTTCGAAAAAGCATTTCATTTACGACTGATTCGAAATCTCTAATTTATATAAATAATATTTGCTACTGTGTAACAATATTCAGTTTAGAAACTTACAAGCGACAAAATCTTGAATGTTAACGAAAAAATTATCATTGTGACAACAATGCAATATTTCCATTACGTCCAATAGGTACTTAATAAACTCTTGATTACAATTATTTAATAGGAGTAATTTGCATTAATCATTTTAAATAAGCCGTCGACGTAAACGAATCCATTTCGCCGGGATTTATCATTTCCAGTTCCTTTTTGTCGTCGATAAGTTAGCGAAATGAATGTCTTCCTCTTCCACGACGAAGGATTTACCGAAGCGATTTTTTTATTAAAGAACTACAGAGGTTTCATTAAATTAGCATCGAGAAATAGTGGAAGAACGTAGGTGTGAATAATGGCATGCCATAATCAAGATAATCAAGGACTACTAGGTGTATGAGCAGGTAACCTATCCGGCGCACATCGAGAAAGTGAAATAGTAAACCTTTGAGATTTTTGCTCGATTCGATTGAATAGTAACAAGATATTATTTCAAGTAGAATATTAAATGAATCTTTCTAAAAAATCGTTAATTTGTAGGTTAATTATTAACACATCAAACATTATGTAGTAGGTTCTGCTTAATTAACGAGAAAATTAGTTGGGAAAAAAAAGGAAAAAGCGCTCATGGAATTCCAAGTTTGAAATTCTTACAACATAGCGAAAATTTTCCACCGTGTCATTCCATTCCAAAGTCCCATTTAAAATTTTTCTCGATAAAATAATTTCGAAATTACCTAAAGAGAATTATTTCCATTCGAAATTCTACTTTCGTTATTCATTAACATTTTGAACAATTTACGTAAAACTAACGTATTATTTAAGAGCGTATTAATTTTATTCGAAGAAATTTTTAAGTATTCCGTAAATTAAAAGTTATTTGTTATTTCAATATAAAATTTTATACTTCGCCTAATATAATTTTTTAAAAAACTATCAAACGTAATTTATTCACAAAAATTCAACATTTTTTAACATTACTAGACACTTTTAAGGTAATTTATGCGAATAAATTTCGTTTGATTGCGTTTTAAAGTTATCTTCGCCGGATTAAATAATTTATTAGCAAAATTAACGAATCAAAAATCAGATTTGATTAAATAAGAGGAACACTTAATTAAATTAACAATATACCGAGATGTCCTCGATATCCTTCGATCCATTTAAAAATATAAGGTTTTTTAAAAAAATAAATCTTGTGTGTTTTATAGAATCAGTCGCAATTCTTTTTAATATCTTGTAATATGCAGATTATTATTGTGGAATAAGTGATCACTGGAGGTTTTAAAAATGTCATGAATGAAGTGTGAAGATTTCGAGATGATAATATTATAAATAATACTTACAATAGCTAGGAATTTGAGCAGAGACATGTCCTCTTCGCTTCCCTCCTTGGAGTTTATGGCCAATTTGGCAGCGTCCAGGCCGTTTTTGGATTCGGCCGCCTTGAGATTGGACTTGATGCGCCACCTTTTGAATGCATTATGGGGCGACGGAGACCTCACCGTCTTCCCGCCGCGCTTCTTCCAAATCTCCGCTACTTCGATGTCCTTATCGCTAGACTGCAACGAAAAATAAGAAAAAAAAATCAGTTTATTTTTCTAATTCAATTAGCTCTATAGCCGCATTAGAATAATTCCGCAATTACGCGTTTCGCTAATTAAAATATTAAGTCCGATCGGAATGCGCGACGAGCACCGGCCGCATAGTGAGATATCGGCCTCGGCATTTTTTTGCGTACAATAGCGCTTTTCCAAATTCGAATCGAACGCGTACGTCAATTAGTTAATTCTCTATTCCGACGTGTCACGGCTTTTGCGTAAGACACGGCCCTGCTTAAGGTCCGATGTGCTTTTCGATAACGATCGTATAAGTACAAGCTCGGCGTGTCGGGTTTTTTTTTTCTTCTCTTCACCTGATCGAGCACGGACAAAAGGCAATGAGGAAAATGATTGCCCAGGTGGTACCTCTTGGCGATTTAACTGTACAGGGTGATCCAATTGCATCACAAAGTAACCTTTTCCTATTATTTTATATGCTTTTTTTAGCTGCACTATAGGGTTGACAAACTTTCTTTAGTTAGTATTAGTAACGTTATTGAAGTAGTACACCCTGTATAATATACCAATTTTTAGGTCTTGTCCGTATAAAAATCTTGTACATTGATTTTTTGCTATGTTTTGACTGGCGCGATTTCCACATTTTTTGTAATTATTATGTGCAACGGAATATAAACTTTAAACTCCAAAATGTAAACATGCGTACGATTATTGCTACATGTTTAGGTTTTTTTCGTTTCAGTGGAAATAACGGATACGTTCGATTCATGGAAATCGGAGTTTCTCGTAGATAAATCGACCAAAGTACATTCGTCGTTTCATCAATATTTTTATAATCGGTTTTCTATAATGTTTGTGTTTGCAATAATACGATGTAGTATTAACAATTACGGTGACGTTAATTATATATAACGTTTACGTACTTGATCCCAATTTCTCATATTAAAGTACAACAAACTCTTTAGTGCCTGGCGATTTTTTTTAACTTCTTTGCAGGTACATAATACCGTCTACGGTTAATAACTGAATGAACGATCCGTTTATTTCCAGTAAACTGCAGAGTGTACGTTAACAAAACACATCGATTAGCAGGTACTTAAACTACGACCTCCGTAAATAAAAACAAATCACAAAACTACTGCACCCACATAATTGGCTTCAATTACGATCGTTCTTCAAGGCTGGTTCTTACGTAATATGGCAATTTGAATAGCTTCAATACGTAATTTTTTTCAACAAAATCACTGAATTCGATACCGCTGCGTTATTTACCTTGACGATTATTCTGTCACATAGCCCAAATATGCCGTCGAAATGTTAAATATTATTACCCGCACGCTTGTATAACTTAAAGTCGGCCTTTTAAACGATAATAAGTGATAATCTGGTTATATAAATAAAAAAATATCAGTAATTTTCCTTTGATATTCGCAAAGAAAGCGTATTGTTCATTAGCCCCTTCCTACTAATAGATGTTAATGAATTATTCACATACGAGTATTTTTTTGTGCAGCGCATTTGTTATTTGTTACTACTAATTAAGGGGGAACTTAATTAAACCGAGCAGTATTTTGGTTAGTGTAAAAAAAAGAAACTTGTTTATCACAATTTAGAAACGCGAAAGTAGGTATGCAGGAGTGCAGGACCAATAAAAACTCGCAAGTAAATAAATCGAAAATAGGTTAAACAAACTGGAGTTTATAGCCTAGCCTAGGATTTTATTACAACTATAAAATTTATAATTAAAATGGAAATCAATGGGCGCTCTATTTAGAGATTAAATGAACAGTTGCTATGTTAAAATTTGAAAATAAAGTAAATTGTGATAATAAAATTGGTAGAAAATACAACAAATTGGTTCAACGAATTATCTCCGTGTGAGAAAATAGAACACATTTTAGTAAATGTTTTATTATCCATCGCAATCTCTTTAGATTAAACGTAATCGAGAATTGTAGGTAATTTTGTAACAAAACAAGTATCATATAACCGTTGTTTTGAACGATAAAAATACATTATGCTAGTTATTATTTAATCAAATTACTAGATAACAATTTATATTAATACCTACAATTCGTATTAAATTCATCAAATTTACCAGAACGCCAAGCTAACAATCTAAAATTACAAAACGAATGCAAAGATATGCACATAAAATAAACAGCGTAAAGCAAAACGAACAAGTGCGCCAATATTAAAATTCAGCAGGAGCCGCAGGAAACAACAATATTTCAAACATCCTTACCGAAAAACTTCGGCACTTGAAGCATGCGAATTCATTGATAAATCCAGTATACGTATCTCTCCCTTTAGTGGCAACTAAATTGACTACTGCAGGGACCATGGTGTATTGGTTAACGCACATTTTACGGTCACGAAACGATGTATCTATATGAATCTGTCACCCCGAACGCAAAGACATACAGTGTCACTCAACTCGAACACCGAAAGGCCAACAAACGTTCACACATCGAAGTTTACAACTGTATTTATATTATGCGTATCGGATACGGACGAACGTGAAAAATCAATCAAGTTTTTTAAAAAGGTGTATCGACTCCGATTTGCATCGAATAAACCACAACGTTCAACTGCTTTCGCCAAGGGAGCGTTGGCACAGATAAACGAACGAACGGTGTGCGTCACGCCGCCGTATGCCACTTCCACAGCACCATTTCATGATGGTGTTATCGCCGCAGCCGAAACAGACACAGAAACTGAAATGATCGCGCTCGTTTGCCGATGTACTTCGGTGAAATTTACCCGTTTTTTTCGGTTATTATGCAGTCGAAAGGGCGATAATGTTAGTGGTTGGGTCGAAGGACCCGTTGGATCTAAGGAGTCTTTGACTAAAGGACTAAATAGTATTCATTGTAGTCATTAATTGGTATTTTGTAGGAGCGAAAAATTTCCAAATCGATGAATTTTTTGAATCAATTAATTTCCAATAAAAGTCATGTTCTTGGAAATTTATGGAATTTTAATACCAGTTTTAATTTATGTAATATTGGAGATACATTAGATTTATTTTGACGAAAATATACCCTCTAGAGGAGTAAAATACAATTTTAGATACTAAAAGGACCACATGGCTCTAAGGACTTCTCGACCCAAAGAACTCCTTGGCTCGAAATAACAATTTTTTATTTACAGAGGAAATTCATCTTAAAGTTTTAAAATTATACAGTGCGCGCCAAAATTCGTTTATTTTGGTACATACTGTAGATTTCTATACAGGAAAACATCGCCTCTTGACGACCAAATTTTACGTACATACATTTTAATTATCGCGAGGGTATCAAGTAAATTAATTAAACTACCGCCGAGCATCAGATTTTGATTTATCGATACAGGCGTACGTATCAAGGATATTTCCAAAAATTAAAAACCGCGTTCTTTCAAATTCATTCACGGTTTTTAAACTGAACACATGCGTCAGTACGGTGTGTGCAATTCGTTGACGTTCGCTGAGAAAAGGAACGCGAATTACCATAAAATTGAATGGTGGATTCTTCCTTTTCTCTTAAAACCTCAAACGGGTTTTCTATGTAAACGAATAATAATAGATATTCCAGGAATGCGTACGACGTGAAATTATGTAATGAAACGGTCGTACACACCGTATCCTTTAGGTGGATAGGTCATTTCCTTTCACGAAATTGTCAGCTTTTTAACATATATTAACCGCACTTTTACTTCCAAAGATTATAAAATTATTACTTTATAAAATATAGGAAAATAATTCAGGAAATTATGACTTACTCCTTTCCACAGTCTCTTTAAACAGTCCATTACTCCTTGCTCAACCACAATACCGCACAATACCAGAATATAATAGCGTGCGTTTATTTCAATAAATCTTCGGACCTATTGGGAACGAGAAACAAATCAGGTACGTGCTAGATTAATTTATCTTATCGGAGGAAGAAATAAGTCGTTTTGTTTACAACGAATGTTGACCTACAAAAATAATAATTTGGACATTCTTGTATTTACTGTGGGTACGGAAATGGTACTTACGGTTTCAAATAAAAATGTTCGGAATAGTTTAGTAATTTGTTCATTTCGATGCGAATTCTATCTCATTTCTATGCTAACGAAGTCAAGCTTGCACACCCCAATAAAACCGAAACATTTTAACGAGGAATCCAGTGGGAATGGCTTAAAATAGTCGGGATTTATGAGATTAAAGAATTAAGTTTGTACACAGAGCAAACTTTATTCGTACATTCCTCGAAAACAACCAATAAATCACCAGTACGTTTTCCGGGAACGGCGGCGGGAAATCGTAACTTTCTTTCGAGTTTACATCTCATTTTTCTCAGTAATTCCAATCTCAATTACGAGTTTCCTTTAAATAAACATCGTTGAAAGCGAGTACTCGAAATCGACACAATTTTTATTATCCAGTTCAATGCAATAGCTATTTTTAAAAACCAGATGGTCTAGCAATTTCGGAATAAGTACCGACAATACGTATGTATGTACTTTCCAATGCACAGTAAATGAAATTAAATACATTTTATGATTTATTCAAGGAGAGATAGCAGGATTAATTCGAGATGGCTTTTAAGCGGGGTAAACAGTCGAAAAAAAGAATTTACTGGCACAAAAATGTCGTTTAAATCAGTAAAATGTGGTCTAAATATTATTATGAAAATTTTACGTTAAAAACATGCATATGTATCGCATAATAAGTTAATACACGAGGTTATGCTTAAAGGAAGCGTGTTCTTTTCATTATGAATCATTCATTATCCTACGCCAATTTGTTTTTCGGTAAACATACGATATAGTAATTTCGAAAGCGGGAATCTGAAATAACATGATGTTCCCTTAATTGAAAACATCAGAATTTTAGGAAAAAGATTAGAAACCCGGATTTCTTGAACAGAATTTAATTACTGGGTGATTCGCACTTCTACAATCAATTTGTCCAAACGTCCATAGGAAAATTTCCTAAGACATTATCTACAAATTAACGAATATTACTTTTTAAACGT